GTCCACTTACGTCACTGCCCTGCGCCGTAGGCTGTTCCAATTCGTCGGGGTGCCGACACATGCGGCCGACAAAACTCTGAAAATGTCATCTGCATCTGAGTGTCCTATGCGGCCGACAGTAACCCAGAATTCATTGCACCGTCAGCAAATTAAACAGAAAAACAAAGATGGTGATCTGATGGTCTGTGCTACCGATCAGTCCGTCCTACCTGGTGGCAATGCGCAAACCGATGTTACGTCATATGTTACTCAGTATATTTCTTATCAATATGCGCTACCTGTAGAAATTTATTTTTGTTACGTTAAGTTTTATTTAATTAAGCTGCTATGTTACTCAAACATATTAACATAAATGGCTCTTTTGCTGTTTGCAATATTTTTACTGTAAAAACAAGAAATTAGTCCCATTGTTTGGCGTCACTTACAAGTTTATGATCGATGCTTGTGGACATATTTGTCAATGGCTTTAGTTTGATGTCTGTAATATCGTTATTATACTGTAAACAAGTGACTTTTTGTTTAGCATCAACCATGTGTTAGCTTTTCATTTTAAACTGTTGGAAGTGATATTCTTGTGATTTTAGAAAGGTTTTTCTTGTGTATATAAATTGTTCCAATATTATGCTAAGCATAACTCCTAAGCTTCTACTTCACACCGTCACTCAAAGAAAGATATCCGATTATCATATTTGTGTAAACATGACATAGCAGTTTTCAATGGGTAGCACCAACAGTAGACCTAGCTATTGAGCCATGCTACAGCAGCAACATCTGACGAGGTAGCTCAGAATGACAGAGCAATGGGAAAGTTGGAGTTTGGAATTTTATCATGGACTGAAAAATGTAAGTTAAACAACTTAGCTGAAAAAAGTTTTGTTGCAATGAGATGTTAAATAAATTACAGTTACAAGTACTGATACTGGAGCTAAACTCAAATTATAATGCTTTTATTTACTTTGTTGTAACGTTTTCTATTAAAACTGAATTTTAGGAAGTTATACCTTGAAARAAACAACTGAAACAAYGTAATATAAAACTTATCACCATGATAACAAGGCAGAGCATGGTTGGTCACGCAAACTTATATCTTCTTTAGACTAGACCATCWCATTTCACAGCTGTTTATGCAGCCGACACAAGCGCCCTTCAGCCCACGTAGACTGTAGCCAGTGTTGGCCTTGGTCTATGTGGGCTGCAACCCATGAATTGAGACCCAGCCTCTGTTTCTTCCTTGGTCTTCCCACTCTCACCTGTTCCCAGTTGTCTTCTCACAGGTGTTGGAGCTTTGAGTTTAATTAGGTCTCATCTTTATTCTGTTTCCCCTATTGTCAGTCGAGGATTGTTCTCTGTCTGAGACAGTCATTGTTTTTGTTTTATTTATCTTTCTTTATTCTATCTCAGCAGCCTCTCCTGCATTGAGCTGCAGTAATGTGCAAATTTCCCCACTGTGGGATCAATAGTTTTACCTTACCTTACCTTACCTTACCTTACCTTACCTTACCTTACCTTACCTTACCTTACCTTACCTTACGTGTGTTCCCTCTGTGGTGAGTTTTTTTTTGTAAGTACCTTTTCAGCTGCCACAACAGCCTTTGTTTTTGTTAAATAAAACCTTTTCCTCAGGTCTGATCTGCATTTGGGTTTCACTGTGACAAACATAACACTTTGTCTTTTAGAACTGTTCAACACTCCTCCCTGGACCTGTAGGCTGTCCACCAAGCTCATCCCCCAGCATGCAGTGGTAGTGCTGCGTTCTAACCTCTGGCCGGGAGCACACACCTATGCTTGTGGAAAGTAACTGCAAACTTCATATTCAAATTGAGTTTTTGCTTGACTTGACTTTGGATCCAGACCTAAGAGACATKTCTTGTGTTTTCTATTAGGACATTTGAGAACATTTATATTGGCTGGGGTCTGAAGAAGGCGGTGATAGAGTACAGTCCAGCTCTRCCCCCACAACCTCAGACTGATCAGTCCAATGAACTGGACATCACAGAGGCCGTGGACCCAACGCCAGAGGAGGAGGAGGAACAGCGCTTAGCACAGGAGGAAATGGAGAAGTCAGAGGAGGATGAGGAGGATGAAGAGGAGGATGAAGAGGACGAAGAGGACGAGGATGAATAAAAGAGCTGAAACATTTCAAATGTAAACTTAAAAGCAATATTTGGACTAATTATTATTTTAATGCAATACGACTTGACTGTATTTTAAAATATACATTTACTGTAAAATGTTAGTTTGTTCAGTGTTTTTATGTCAGAACAGAATAAATTAAAGGAGTATTTCTTGAAATACATTTTACAGTGTATCTTTGCAGCATCTCATGCTGAACATTTAAACAGAGATCCTGTACGATCTGTTGGCCCTCAGAGTAAATCTGATGTAGACCTAATATAAACTGGCCTTTTTTCAAAATCACTTTTTGTCTAACTAGTTAAATCTCAYTGGCCTTTTCTTCACCTTTCTTACATTTGTAATTACTCTAGAAACTTTGTTTCACTTTGACACAAGAGGGTTTTTAGAGAAGAATAATTTATATCARCCGTGATGGATTTATTTATTTCTGACAGCAACAGAAGAATAAAACAATGTGAAAACGTGTTATAGGTCCTGGATGTGTTTCCTCAGCGACCCTGCTGATGGACGGATGATTCCCTGGGAGGTGAGAGTTTGATTATTGTGCTGACATCAACAGTATTTTAGGAACAAAGTAACCTTGCTTTATTATTATGACCCCCGCACGCCAAGCGTAGGTGGGAGTCATGTTGTTTTCGTACTGG